GAATAATGTATGTTGTTTTGTGGTCTGATAATCAAACTGAAAGGAGTTTTGCTTTAAATCATCATTATGTTTTTATAAAAAAAATAAGTACTTAGTATAGATGATATAACTTTTACTGAATGTAATGACTTTTTATTGATAACTCTTGACATAATAACGAAAAGTATATAACAATAATCTGAATTCAATTGACCAATATTATCAACACATATATCAAGTTGATCGTGTTCACAGATCATGACTAATTTAATTTACATGAATGTGAAGAGGATATGTATGATAAGGTTATGGTTTGTAAATTAACTACTTTTGAGGTGCATATTTTAATATAAAACATTCACACCGATTTATCGATTGTTATCCGACTGTAAAACCTCTTACGTACCAATAATTAGTAAATTCAGCTTTTCTATTTATTTATTAAATCTCTGTTTCATCATGGAAGTCACTCGAACACCACTCTACATCTGATTATCAGTACTATCATAACAGTAGGTAGACCTTTGAAACGCTAGAACACTATTTACTTAAGCATACTTAAGTTTATTATTCACCACGTAGGGTTTCCTTAACATGAACATGTTCCAGTGTGATAATAACCATCTTTTTTCAGTATTCATTAAGAGGTTCAAGACATAGAGTTTTCTATCATTATCCTGTTCATTTACTGGATCGATACTTCATGGAAGAGTAATTCACTATGAATGTTTCATTTCAATCATCTAAAGTTATCTATATATGACTTTTATGAACACCTCACTGTATTGTATCTCAAATCTCCAAGTGAAAAAATAAGACGAAAATTAGAGCGTGAAGTAAAATCCTCGGTGAAAATTATGCTTTTATATGCAGCATCTGCTTATCAAGTAAAACAAAACAGAAAGATGCCAGATGCCACTCATTTGATGAGCAATGAAGAACAGAAGCGCTATGAATCTACGTACACGTACCCTGCCCATATGGTTTATCCATATACCGTTTGAAATGATTTCATATTAAGAATAATTAGCCAATGCAAAAAATGTTTACTTCAAATACAATGAAAATCTTAGTGCATAATACATATTATTTCATAGATTCAAACACTGTTCTATCAACCTATCATCTGGTAGCCCATATAATAAGCAAAAACCAACTGAAATCTTACAACTAATAAGCTTTAGCTGTCGTCGGTTATTATAGAAAAATAGATAAATTTGACTTTGTATAATGGTGTTATTTTCATGTTTTAGTTTTGCATGCAAATATGTATTTAAATACATTAGACCTCATTTTTCAAATGAGTTTTACCTTGTACTTCTGTTTATACTTACATTTGATGATTCTTCGTTGCTTATTTTTCTTATTTACATAACTTAATCACTTATGATGTTTAATACACACAGAAAAATCTATTCATGCATTGAATATACACGAGTGTGTCTTTTTATAGGAACTTCATCAGGCTTTTGATTAGCAAACAGGACTAAAAGAGGACGAATAAAATTTGTTCATTTTAATTTCTTATAGTTACAGAAGTTTCATAACTGTTACCTGGTTTTATTGACACGGGAATCATTATCCTGTTCACTTTTCTGCAGTTTGTACAGGGAAGAATTAGACTAATTAGTAAAATGGGAACATTTTCGACTTAAAAAACAAATATTGCCTTCTTGTGAGTGCTTTGATGTAATAAGTAAATATGTCTGCTAATAACAATTTTATTTTCTAATTCATTTTGACATTTTTACATCATTTCATATTGAACAACGTCAAATTGTAAAATAACACAAGACATATAGCATTCTATTTGTGTGTTTTCTTACCGTAAACGAGATTTCTTGATCAGGACCAGTAAATTAAAATTATTTGTATTTCATTTTATTTGACATTTTCTCTCGTAATGGATTGTTTTTTATCAGTTTCTATTGTCATATGGATAAATGAGACAATGATAAACTTATGCCATAAAAATGTAGATTGTTATTCAGTTTATTCATTATATTTGTAAATAAATTGTGTTTCATTATTGTCATTGCATAGTTGAACATGAAGTCCAGAAAAAAGTGGATCAGTAAATGTTGTAGGCTTTGCGGCGAATAAATTATAGGTGTATTTCTTGTTAAATGGAGGACTAAATGTGAATCAGTGGTAATTTTTATTCTTGTTGGACGATGTGCATCTAAAATAAATACCATAAATGTAATTAAATATGAATATTTGACAATCTCCTCATTTCAGAGGATCAATCCAATCAAGCAAATTACACGATCAGTATAGGTTTATATAGGCATTAGAACTGACTTGAACGAGACTTGAAAATTGCAAATTAATACTTACAGCAAATAAAGGAGAGTATGAATATGAAACTTATAAACAAAGAAGAACTATCACTCTTAGCTGACCCAACGATGCAGTTAGATTGTATTAATGAAATGTAGAATGCTTCCTTGTTAAAATTTTCAAATATTATCTATTTATAGTAACAACATGAATTTTCATTAGCCACCCAGTACAAACATATGAACCAAAAAAGCCGTAGTTGTTTTACTTTTCCCCAGGTCACTCACTGATCATTATTAACTTCTTCACAAATGATTCATTATTCAAGATAAAATTGTTAATTAGCTACCTAGAATGGATAGAATATTGCTTGCAGTGTAAACGAGGATGTACATTTCACCCTATTTAAGACACATCAGATGGATGTACCTGTATTCCAGAGTTAATTTTCAAGCCAGGATTCTAACCTAGTATCTTTAACTTCTAACGACAACATGTTATCAACTTAACTACTGATTTCAGATAAACAATAACGTGTTCAACATTTATGGATTTTATTTAATATGTAGTGGTTTTTTAATATTTCGACTGCATTTCTCTCACTCTTAGTTGGGATATGTGCATCTTGTGCGGACTGCCTCGATATAGCTATTATATACCGATTTTGTATGAAAGAGATTCAATCAAAATATCAACACTGAGATAACCCAAGCCATTTCAAATTCAATTTCAATGTTACTTAACTAGTTTGATAGGTCGATTAAGGCCTTCTAAAAAAGTTAAGTAAGGATTTGTTAAGAAAAATCTAGTCTTAAGAAATGTCAATATACAACAGAATTAACGGTATTTTTTCTGAAAATAATTTCAAATCATAAATTTTTTCAATGTAGTTGTATGTCGTTTATTTTTTTGAAGCTTTTTCAAAGAATCAGTAGGAATTAGGCCTATCACAGCGTGTCATACTCAGAATAGGAATTTCGGATCAACTCAGTCTATTAAGTGTAATAATTGTACTAAACAGTTTTCTTAAATAATCGTAATAACCATTATCGTAAAAACATTGGAATTCTATAAAAATTAAAATTCTGTACAGATATGTAAATACTCAGTGTTTTGCAAAATGAATTTCTCAGCAGCTGTCATGTTGTTGTTAGTGATTAACGGAAGTTTCACATGAAACTCAAGAATTTAGAGGTTGATAAGAAAAATGAAGAAACCTATACATCTAGGTCAATGTTAGAGAATTTGACCCATGTCATTTGAAGTATTTTTAATAAAACTGAATACAAACGAATTTATTAGTTCGATATTAATGTTTGCGAGCTACATATTTCTATGTGCGTATCGGGATGTATATAAACATATATACCATTTGGTTTAGAGCCGATTACAAGACCAGTAGGTCATATGATAATAAACACAGTAGATGCATTAGCCCACATACATTTAATTTCCTTCAATACAGGATATAGGGAGTTTTCCATACAATATTTTTAGTTGGTAAACATTTTTACATAATTAAAAATTATCAAAAAATAATCAGGTGTTTATTCAATTCCAAAGTGAAGCTTTTTTGCTTATTTATTCGATGATAATTATCTTTGATCAGAATTCTTTGATTAAAATCAGTTTCGTTATCATATTTACCCGACGATACATATCACACAATTTAGATAGTAGGTTTAGCCAGTATTATCAATCATTTATAATACTATCCGATTAACAGAGTTTTCTGCAAAGATCATTTGTGATAGTCCTATGAACTATTTACCTTAAAGAGCTGTCTGTATATTGAAATAAATCGAGAAATTAAGTCTCTCCACATTTATATGTTTTTTTTCTCAAATACACAAAAATAATCTTTATTCACCGAATGCTTGGGTTAAAGTTGCTTTATCTTTGTCTAAACATTGCATTCATTGAAGATTATCTGAAGAAATATATTTTTTCCTCTGTTTGCCTAAAATGAAGCTCACTTTAATGGTTTTGCTGTCAAAACTTTAATTTTTAAATTCTTACAATGTTATCAAAGCAAAGCAACCTATTTTTACTACAGGATTTATTCAGATTTGTGTTCTTTCCCTCTTTTATATCTACCCTATATATGTATGTAGAGTTCCCATTCAAATACGAGTTATAGATCGTCATGGACCTGTTTTTGATAAACCTCACTATAATTTTAAAATTGGTCAAAGAAGTCCAATCGGTAGTATAGTTGGTCAAATCCAAGCTATTGAAGAAGTGAATCAACCAGGAGAGTATTCGAATACTGCCATTTGTAGTTATCGTCTTGAGCCTATTGATAGTCCGTTTTCTATCAATAATTATGGTGAGTTCATTTTATCCATTTAATAAAAACAAGCGTAATTTTATTTTACATTAACTATAAAAAGCAAATGATCTTTATAACTACTGATTCATATTTTCCTAATTATTATGGAACGTTATATATGATGATGAAGACTGTGAGTCAGAATTAGAACTCGACATAATATTGACTGAGTTGATTAAAAGGAAAACAACTTTATGATGAAAAGAATGCCAAAGAAAAAAGCAGAAGTATGGACGAAACAATCTTTAACCAACTTTATTACATGTGTTGCTTCAGATTCTTTTACAGTCTGCTTTTCATTGATATACTTTTGCATTCCTAACTTTTTCTAATCTTTTGTTAAAAAAACTCAACGCTTACATCACTAACTTTAAATTATATTCTAGCATTTAAAATGTACCCAAAGCCCTTGAGTACCATAATATAAAAGGCTATGGGAATACAAAGCAGCCACAGATAGTTGTCAGTATGAGTGGCTAAAGATCAAGGAGCATATCAGCACAGATATCATATCAAGAGGGTTTCACAAGCAAAATTTCAATAAATTTCTAACTAATTAACATCATTTATGAATGAAACCAACATCTGTTGAACCAATAGCCAACGTTAACAGAATTAATTTATCAGTAAGATAATTATTAGTATCTATATTTCCTTGTCAGTGTATTGTAATCAAAAGTGATTCGTTTATCTTTATACTGTATACTGACCATAAAGTTATATTTCATGGTTATGAATTGAACTAGGACTTGATGGGATTTATGCTTAAAAAAGCTTGTTTACAGACGTAATAGTGATACTAGTGTGAGTAATAATAACAGCAGTCAGTAAATTAAACTGTAACCCTAACCCTTTAAAATTTTGAAACTCCACAAAAACACACTCTTTGGTACTATAATCTATTAACTATATTTTTGAACAGATCCTGTAGAGATTAATCTTCGTGCCCCTTTTCAGCAGATGATCTCAATGGAGTTCACTAATTTTTTCAAACGGTAGTGTTCATTGGATTTCAAGCACCATTTCCTAACATTTTAACACGAAATGTCACGTTCCTCTCGTTTTTTACGTAAGCAGTGGTGAACATTTCATCTTTTTCGTCAGCTTGAGTTAATATTCGACACTCGAACTTGATGTAAAAAAATAGCTATCTCTAAACTTTATAAACCCATGCGCAAATTTCAATTTTTAGCTAATATTTAAACCCACAAAGCGATTATCATCTAGAAATAAATTTATTCAGTCTACAGATAGCTTTCTGTGTGAGCTTATTTTGTTAAGAAACCGATAAAAACGAATAGGCACTGAGCTATTGTTTAAAACTTTACAGCAATAAGCAACCAAAAACCAAACCAGGAATAATAACTGAACCGATAGTTAGCATAGTATGCACCATACAATTGTATATTGATTCATATTTGGTTTGTTAAGTTGTCAATAACAATAAAGCTTCCAGTTATTTTACATACTGAAGGTATATTAAACATTAGCGAATTTCATATTGTTGTCAAGATTATTAGTTGTACAACAGTTTTACTCATTATATTATTGCAATTTGAAGTAGTTTGGATTTCCCCGTTGTTGATATTTTTGACTGTAATATAATTAGTCCTGGCTGGTATATGATCGTCCAATGTGGATTGCCTCAATTTAACCACTGGATACACATATGCTAACCAAGATTAATCACATTTCAGTCAAAAATATCAACAACGGAGTAATCTAAACCATTTCAAGTAGAATTTTAATATCATACCAGTCACAAAAATGAGTGGCTATCTGAACTTAGTAGTTAAGTGGATAATACGGTGGCATTTGAAACAAATAGTATTTGTTTTCTGTCCCAGAGTAGACATCAATTCTGAGATGCAGGTCCATCCAACTAAAGAGTCCTAAATAGGGGGAAACGCGCAAGCTATATTACACTAATAGCTATATTTCATCTAATCTACGCTATAGTTATGGTTATATTTAACTTTCCTATTTAGTATCTACTATTCTCCTCTAGTTTACTACCTTTTATTTTTTCAAGGCAATTAAATTCTTACAATCAAATACTTAAAAAACAAAAGTCTTTTTAATAAATCTAAAATTAGATTCTTATTTCATAGTCTTTTTTGTCTGTATCATAAACACCGCTACTTTTAATTTCTTACTGAACAATTAAACAAACTTAACAAAACATAAAACTGATTACAAAACATATTCCGGATGTAATTAAAAAATTTACATATAAGATAAAAATTTAATTAAACTTTGAAAATGGTTATATATATATATATATATACATATATATACACTTAAACGAGCAGCTTGAAATAGATTCTATGCTGTAAATTTTCTATTGTTTTTCTATCCTTTGAAGGAGAGTAGAATAGTTTTTCTTTTTCAAGAATTGTTATCTATGAAAATGTCAGATTTTTTGGATGTGCGAAGCTCATTTCTAATATCGATTTTCATTATGATTTATTGTTGCTTTTCTTTAAACGTATTATTAAGGAGACACTCCTCCCTAATTTATGCTTAACTAGTCACCTTCTAAATGGATACACTGAATAAATGATTTGGTAATTTATTTTCAGCTTCTGGTCTATTGATGCTTTTTCTTAACATTCAATTTAGTTTTTTAAGTACTCACTTTTTATTCATACATTCCCCAGAATATATATATTTATGCATCCTTTTTCACCCATTTATTATATTAATTTACTCGATAGTTTAACAGGACATAATGCAAATAGCAAATAACGGTAGATTCTTATCATGACAAACCCTGTGTTACTGATCTTCATTGAATGATACATTCCATTAGTTCTATAAAGTTTTTTAATTATTTATCATGTTTTTATGGATGATACTTTTGACAATTCATGTAATAACGCTGTATAGTATATTTTAACATTTAGATAGTGTTTGCAAGGAATCAATAGTTAAAATTTATTAATGGACTTTTTTCTAAAAACGAAGTTTTCGACATGAATATCAATAGAAATTTATTAAATAGAAAGTTATTTCGCCAAATGAATAGTTTAATATTTATAAACATTATTTCATACTCTTACTATACACTTTCGTTAGTCCAAGTGTAAGGTGGTCATTCAGAGTAGTCAACGGGAATCCTTGGACCTAGGTTTGAACGATAGAACTCAGTCTACACTGAGAAGGACTTGACATACATGATATTGTCATTGTTCGAGCATCAATCAATTGTAAATATATCTCAGTTATATAGGAGGTCAGTCGAGACTAAGTAGCTCAGTGATAACGTTTCTGACTGTAACTGAGTGGCATGGCGTCGAATAAACTATAGATGGTCAGTTCCCTTAAGATTACAGGTTTACGTTGATGACGAATGCCAAACAGCATCCAACTTTAGTCCAGGTTTTTCCGTCTATTACTTCTAGCCACCTAGTCTCTCGACATGGTGAACACGATGTCGAGTTGCTTAGACTACCGACCAGACTACAACCTGAATGACAGAATTCAATGAGCATTAAGAGGGAGTCGATATATGCATGACAATTATCATCGCTAAGTGATCAACTAGTTGTAAACTATAACTAGTTAGCTCTTCGTTACTTGAAAGCATATGTTAATAAAGTGTTTTCAAATAAAAGATCTTAGGCTAAAGTTCCCCCTATTAACGATTAATTTTGCAAACAAACTTTGATTTCTACTGCTGAAGAAAGATTGATTTCTATCATCTTTTAAAGATATCATTGTAGAGATGGAATATAAGATAACATTTAAGAAGTGACATACTATATCTTTTATGTTTTCGCATATCTATGACATCTATGATAAATTTTATAACATCTTCAACAATGACTTGCACTACAATTTAAAACAATTAAACAGGTGTCTTAATGTATTCATTAGTACTAAAATTTGACCAACTAAGTTCATGAAATTGTCAACTTCAGTATGACTAAATAGGTTTAACGGAAATTGTTGTATTTCGTAATATATCTCATAAATAACTATATGAACAATCATTAGTAACCAGGGATCACTTTAGTATTAGTTCAGTTAAGTTGAGAAATAATGCAGTATGTTTGTAGAAGGGAATTTACAAGTGTTTACATTACAATTGATTGATCACTGGGTGGTGATCAATGTCATGCTTGTCTAGTCCTTATTAGTGCAGATCGAATGCTATCGATCATGTTGCAATGTGGCCACCAGTCTAGGTGACTCAACACTGCGGGCACTATGTATTGAGATTTAGATGGTGGTTGGAGGTGGTCAACAGGAAACCCTGGACCCGGGTTTCGTGCTACTTGGGTCCAGGGTTTCCTGTTGACTACCTCCAACCACCATCTAAGTGTTTACATTGTCATACTACGCATAAAAATTCATTTCTGTCAATAAAATATTTCATTTCAATTAGTCTAAAAATTATTCCATATAAACAATTTTCTAATGAGTAGTATATTTATTGTAAATATTTAAAATCAGATTATTTTGACAGTAATTCGTTAATAAAATATTTGAAATTTACTTACAGAATAATAGGAAACTTCGAATAAATTGGAATGATGTAAAAATACCTTGGGAATCTTATCCATTTATGGAACTTATCTAATTGTAAATTGTTATATACGTTCTGTTTTAAAATACTCATATTGATACCACAATGATAACAACAATATAACTTACCTAACATAAATTCATTTAATTTATATTGAATTACATTGTCTGTATATAAGCTTGTAATATCAGACCACTTTCACGAGCTAATCTCAGTAGACCGGGATTCAAACTGCAACCTAATATTTGACTCTCATGGGCCAGTAGTAGGGATACTACAAATGACAATGAGCATATTGTTGTATGAAAATGTAATAGATACTAATTTTATATCATATCATACCTACACTTTTGACATTATACTTTTTAGGTGTTATACGTGTACGTGAAGCACTTTTATCTCTTGCACAAAGACCTTATTCACTACAAGTTATTGCCGAGGATTGTAGTCGTCCAGTACCACATAGAGCATCAGTCAGTGTAACAATTGAACAAATTCTTCTTGATTGCAAACCAGGCTGGAAAAGTAAGTTATTTTGTTCTTATGTTATACATTTGTTGGTATTCGTTATGGTCATTATCATGTTTTCAGTTGACTTTAAGTTAAATAATGCCTTCATATCATTAAATTTTGTATTATAGACTGTTGTGTTTCTCTGTATATTTTTATCTTCTTATAGAAATTCGTTATAAAAATAGCTTTAGTTATCTAATTGTAACGTTAAGAAGTTATCTAAAACTAGTTTTTCTCTACTGATCTCTATGTCGTGTTTTTTTTAAAGCTTTTATTAAATAAACTGGCTACATTGAAAATGTCAATCCTGATTAATTCAGACATTACGCATCCTTTAGTTACTGAATTATACAACCATTAGAGTTACAACTGAAATGTTATCATCGAATATATATTCAATATTTCTATTATGTCAACAGACTATACTTCAGAAGTGATTAGTAAACTTAGCAAGATATGAATAATCTATACTAACTACCTACCTTTATCGTCATCTTAAATTTGACAACAAAATACTTTTACATTATTACAAATAAACTTTTGACAAACGATAGTAACATGTAGTTGCAAATCAATCCTTTTTAAAATTGTAGAAATTCAAACTGAATCTAAACTTTATAGCCATTTACAATTTATACTGTACGCAAAACAAAATAAGAACTCTACTGAAAATAATACCTAAAGTATATACTACTTGGATTAAAGACAACTATGATATAACACTCCTAAAAAATAAAACATTAAATAATAGATTTGCTTATGTTATATATTCTACTAATATCTACTTAAAGCTTCAATCCTTTCTCTCCGCTAAGAACTTTTTTTATAACTGAAATAAAGGTCATTCACTATTCCATTGGCAAGCTTACTTTAGGCTGATTAAATATTAGTCTGATATTTCATAATTTAAATTTAAGATAATTATTTTATGTTCACAGCAGAATGTGTTCATTATATTTGTAGATAAATAATAAAAAGAACAGTGGGTGAAAATATAATTTATGGATGACCTTTGAAAGATGCTAAAGTGACCTTGAGAGTGTTCACCTAATAACCAAGACCAAATGAGGGTTATAAACCAGCTTGAAGAATTAGTTATGATTTACAGTTGATAGTTAGGGTTAGGAATTAGATTTAGGGTTTTATATCTAGAGCTTATATTCTTGATATACCGCGTATAACTTGAGCACTAGAACACTAAAACCTTTCCAAGTCTCAATGAGAAGATCGAAGACTACTGAAGGGAATTTTATTCCAGACAGTGCCAAATTACACTACAAAACTGTCAGGTATTTATAGATTTTAGTAAGAAACGAAATCATCATTATAGCTATTCGATTCGCACACAGGGGGTTATTAGCATTGTGCAATCGGGAAGCTACACGTAGAGAGTCTATAATATTCTTTCAAAAGATGATTGAATGGAATATCTTCGGCTCTTTCTGAGCTTTTTACAGCTTCCTCGGGTTCACCCATGGACCGTCCTCACACATTACGAACTGAGATCAGCTATAACACGAAAACTCCATTTATTCAAATGGATGAGCGAATTTCGCGCCAAAATCCGAGACCTGTTATCTTAAATCTGATTGGTTCGTCCATAAATTATAGTCTCGCCGAACAGTGAATTCTTAATAAAGTTTTGTAGTTTCCTGTTGTTGTTATTCAAGACTACAATTCATAGGTCTATGTTTTTATATTTTCATCTATATTGGGTTATCCCTATGCAGCCTTTAATTACAATTCTCAGTTTATTTGGTATTTGGTTATCAATGTTAATATGGCTGACCGGTTTCATCCTTGAATGTTAGTAACAGGAAATTACAAACTCTGACCAACACCTTCATTCCCATTAAATAAGTTATTGTCTACCGAAACTCTTGAGTTGAAAACTAATAGGTTTGAGTCCTATTGTGAATACCAACAGTAAAGTGCAATCATAATCCATTGATAAATCTTGAATAGGATGGAACACACATCTTAAATTTAATTGATAGCCACATCGTAAATACATTGAAAATAGTACTGAGTAGTTTTTTTGTTACGAAACCTGATATTTATGAATATGTGCATGCACAACTACCTTTTTTTTATAGAACGTACTGTTAATGAGTAATTTTTGTTGGGATAATAAATTCTGAGTAATAAACATTGAACTTTCAACATTTGAAAGGAATATTACGTAATGAAATGGATAATTTAGAGTATGGGAAGATAACATAGAACAGATAAATAAATGACATTTATTAAATGTAAAAAAAATTTCTAGGGCACTAAAACTGATAGATGTGGTATTAACTTCTGTCAGACTGATAAGATTGTCATCTATTAGGTAATAGAAAGACACAATCATTACTAATTCTAGTAAGGTCATTAATCTACATACGTTCTTTTCTAGATATTAAAGTAATCTTATAGGTTATACAAAGCATATTTGATCACATTTATCAACTAAGGTACCAACATTTGTTAAACAAACTGAAATTTTAGTACAATTTGTTTGACTAAATCAGTTTGTATCAGGAATATTAGTTGTACACATAATACGACAGAATAATACAGTAATTTATCTAAACAAATGCGAAGTTACCCATAATGATATCTGAGATACAACAACTAAGTTTGTCCAATGTTTTCAGATTAAACCACAATTCATCAGTTAAATTCGTTTGAAAGTCATTTAACTATAGACTTGGAATTCACTCTAGTTATATTGCATTCAAAATTGCATATTTATCAGGAAGAGCTGACGGTCGTTAGTTAAATCCTATGTGTTATTATTTCTGCTTATAACAAAGGAATTCTATACTAATATGAAACAACTGTCGAACTGCGCTTGTTTCTCATTTGTTCTCCAAATGACGTCATACATTGAAATCCACTTTTGTATTGTAGAATATCACAACAACATTACTTCATTAAATGATATTTCATTTGTAAATATTCTGTTGACAACATCTTATGATATAAAAATTAATTTATGTTATCTAAATTACAATGTAATTAAAAATCGTAACATTCGTTATTATGGAAACATTGTTTTGTCTCTATGCATGATGTGATAAAATGCACATTGATTTTCTATAGGTGATTAATCATGTGTTCGAAATAATTTTACACTAAACTATTAAATTTTCAACATTTTTCTTACAGTAGGATAAAAATGAAAAGAAAACATTTTTGTATTTATTAACGAAGTGTATATGTATAAAACTTCTATTCTCTATCCCATTGATGTTTGCGGATAAATTAAACTTTAGTCATGCAATAATTTTACGTTTCACTAACTTAATTGTGTAATTTTTTTTAGTATCAGAAAATTATTTCTACTACAATTTAGAAAAATTCTTATCTTTTGATCATGAATGTCTACTTATAATTGTTTGTTTAAAACACAGTAACCAGTTTACATGGATTATGTGTATAGAACACGCTATTGACTACTGTAGTGTCGGTTATTATGTTAAGCCTATATGCCTTATTCTGGCTTTCGAACAGCCCATTCTATTCATTCCACTTGAGTCACATTCTGACCTTGTTATTTATTCGCTTATCAATCTTGACTGTTTTTATATGAGATCGTAGGTGTGTGCACATTTCTTATCCTGTTACTCATCACATGTCTGTAACTTATTTTTGTGTAACTATAACTATTGATTAACGCTTGGTTGAATGTGTGTTGGCTTACCAGCCATCTCCACTCTGCGTTGTTCCTCTTCTCTCTATTCCATTCGCTTTATATAAGAAATACATGTGTTCACAAATCCATTCTCGTTATTCGACTTATTCAATTCCGTTATCGACTAACGTAGTTTAAGTCGATGATTATATGCGAGAATAGGCGACATATATATTTCAATAACAAACATTCATTACGATCTTCTTGAAGTCAGATCCACGAGCCACTAAACTACTCATATACTTTTAGTATTATATATCGTTATCATATCTTTGTGTTTCTATCCCAAATTCTTTCAGAGAAAAATTTTTTTTTAGTTTTTAACGATGAGTTTTATGAAAAAGGGTTAATTAGATGGTTCAAACCATAAACTGAAGTTTATTAAAAAGTCATATGAAAAACCATGTGAAGAACTGAACATTTTTTTTCTCTTATTCTTAGTTCAGGATTGGTTGACAAAACTCACAACAAAATATGTTTAAATTCTTTTGTCACGGTAACATTTGTAATAACTCATCAGATTAAATTTAAGATAATAATTAATACAGACATTCGCACACTTTTATTTATGTACAACAATTTGATTCAGAGTATATTAGCCGTACATATTATAAATAAATGTATGACTTCTTAAAAGAATCTCAGAAAAATAGGGTGCAGTAAAAGACTTACTTTACTAAAAGCAAATATTGAGGAGTGACAAGCAAACGTCTTATTTAATGAATCCGCTTCTTTATAAAGAAGTAGTTAAATTATCTCCGATACTATAATCTTGTGTTAAGCAGTAACTTACTACAAGTTCAACTCTTGAAGTTCTAGTGAGTCACTCTGATTTCACTCATTCCGGGAGTGAAACAGTCGCTTTGAATGGCATCAGATCGTCAAGTGTTTCACGTCGAATTATGAATCTTCGTATGTTGATCAAATGTTTTAGTGAGTGATAACTTATTGAGAAACTTGGAGGTCCTGAAGTGTCATATGAGGACAATGCTAGAGAGTTTCATACTAGAGAAAAGCAGCTATACAGTGTCTCTTGGACTTCGGTGGTATCCCAACTGTGGTCAATCTATGATGAATATCATCCGCAACCTAAATGAATCTCCGAAAATTCTCTTCATAAGTGACTTGAAGCCATACTTCGATAAATTCACTTCTGTCTAGCTTGATTAGATCAATACTTAATCGGTAATTTATATTATTTTTACCTCCACTTTGATTATACTTGGTTTTACTACTCATATCGTTATTTCATGACCCTACTTGAAAGATTATCTTCATTTTCTGTTAGAGAATGATCACTAACGCTATATATATATATATATATACTGGTTGCATTTTATTATTCATGAACCTATGTATATGCATATGCTTAAGGTATATATATGATAGAAATAGTTTACGAGACATGAAAAGAATAGTTGTACACAAATAATAGCTCCATTGATCTATTTTGTAAGCCTTCTGGTTATTCTCATCATAACTTACAAGGTTATACCAATGTGGTTTTTTAAACTGTGAGCCATCCATTTGTTTTGTTATACTTATCAGTTTTAATTTCTGACACTTTATACAGGTCAACTTTATCGGTTGATGAAGTCTGAAGTTTTGAAATACCATTAACCTCTTTTTATATTCACGTTTACACTAACCATTTTCAATAAGTTATTATTAGAATAAATTAAAATATCTTATCATAGAATGACCTTGGTCAAGCGACCAATGAGAACTAAGAATTACTAAACAAATATTTTATCCTATTATGAGATGCTTACTTCTAAGGAGCTTAATATTAGGATGAAACAACTGTTCTGTGCCTTCTCGTCTTTTAGTAATTGTTTAATTGAAGTTAATCAGTAATGTAAACTATGAAACTCAATAATCTATACAAGCCTCTTTTGGTAATAAATATGAATGATTAATCTGATTCAACTTTAAAATGTGCTTGATTTATCCTTCTACTGTTGTAAAAATTAACTGTAACGCTCGACTTTTTGCACTAATCTTTCTGTGTAGTAAGTGAGCTTAAATAAATTCAAAATTCAAATACCACCGTATGTATGTATCATTATCCTTTGGATATTCGTTCAATAATCAATAAATACTTGTTCTGATATTTCAATGAAACAGCACCTTACGTACTCATATTGTAAAACTAAATGCACAAATTTTTCATACAATAACAACATTATTCAGTAGGAATACTGGTGCGGCAATGTGTTAACACGAGATTCTGATGCACTCAACTTGGTGTGAATTGATATTTTTCTAAAACTGAATCATTTCAACTATATATTATGAATGGGTCAGTAATGTAAAATTTCCCCTATTTGGTGTAGGCATTGATTTACATTGAGTGCAAACTATACAATCCAATTCTAGGGTTTTCCGATTGATTGTGCCATAATGGAAAAAAATTAATTGATTCTTAAAGTACAAGATTCATTTCATGTTCAGTGGTACCTAGGCGAGATTGCATATCAGTAGGTCATGTAACCAGTGAGTTATAATAGTGTTTCTCTTTATTTATGCTTCTAATCAGCATCCAGTGAAAAGTTTACAGAAATTCTTATCAAATGATCAGTTTATTCGCTACCGGAATCCTCTAGAATGTCATGGCCACCCATAAACCCGTAAGATACCTTGATGTCTCTATATAAACTAACCTTGGAACCAGAGTTTCTGTTCATACTTCCTTATATATTTTGAGTGACTCGAGTCTGGAGAATTCTGAGTGAATAAAAAGCTCTCAAGAAGTCATTATCACGCGTTCTAGTGGTGGACATGTGATTATCGAGACAACATTCGATTCAGTAATCAATCAGTAACATAGAAGATAAATAGCTGTGACATATTTCACCAAAATAAATCTTTTTTTGAATTAAACTAATGGGTACCTTAACTAGTCAAGAGAATAATTTTGAATATTAAATACAGTATAGAGCTAGTCTTTGTTCCAAAAATTATTACTCATAGTCAAGGTAAACCAGGTGATGGCATATTATTTTGATTATAGAGATCAAAACTATTATGGGTGTGCAATCTATATCTCTCATTTGAACTTTATTGGTCTCAGATGGGTTTATAAAATGTTATATAGTTTGTGAAATACATCATATTATTACAAATTAATTGGTATCTGCATAAGTAATTAATAAGAAGTTCCTATTAATTTCATTGTATATACTGAATCCTAATTAGAACTTTAAAGACGTAATGTGTTCAATAAAATCTATTCTGTAAACTACATTTTCCATTGTTTTTGATGAATAGATTTACCAAGTGATATTGAATTTCTTGGATCTGAAGAAAAACCTGAACGTTTATTTATGCATTCGAGTTTACACCTGGAGACATGTACTGGTCCATGTGCTAATCCATTTATAGAAGCTCGGTTGGAACTTAGATCGCCTGTAATCGGTCAGAATCTCGTTACAGCTAATCCACAATCCTGTCGACATGAACCAACAAGTATAAAAAGACAGCAGAAATTTTGCGGTAAATTCCTTTATAACACTATACGGAGTTTAAATATATTATTTAAATGATACAAATGACTTTAATCAGATATTCTGTAATAAAATGTTGATCTAATTCTTCATCCTCGTTGAATAATTTGTTTATGTACCTGTGATGATCATTTAATTTTATATTTATAAAAATTTTATATCCTATCTTACCAGTTCGCAATTATTCCTAAGGCAACAATTGAATAATGTGACCATGGATCATAATTAATTGAACATCGTTTGGTAACAGAAACATTACAACATAAATAATTCAAACTACTTTACAATTTGGATCAAAATAGTTCATAAAACTTACAATTATACTTTTAAATTTTTTAGATTACAAGATATATTTTTTTCTAGATTTTATTTATTGTTAAGTAAAAGATATTTGGTAAATGAGTCATGTACTATCATATTATCAAGTCATATGGCATCGTTGACAGGATAATTTGTAAAAATTTCTTTCTAATAATACCAATAGAAGCTAGATATATAGAACGTTAGTTTATTGATTTAGATTTTATTTTCAAACCATTAGTTCATAGGTTGAAATCTGGCTCCGCCTACTTCAAATCGATAAGTCAAGTAGGATCGTTAATCTTATCACAAACAGTGTTTCTGGAAACCAAATAGTTAACCCCTCATTTGATAAGATGATTAACATAATATCATTATATATTCACTATTCTATCGTTTGAAAGCTAGCTTTATATTCGCGTCTACATTAGATCGACTTGGAGAGACTGATTTTTTTATAGTAGATTAGTTTTGACCAGCTAATCACGATTTGCAGTAGACTGAAATGTATCTAATTATACAACTTTATAAAACTTACAACATTCGACTAATTCGTCTGGAAATAAAAAGTATCTATACTGAAGTTTGTGCTTTGCGTGAAATAGTTGAGGATGTTTAGTTCCTTAGAACAAAAGCCTGGAAGTTACACTTATGGTTTATAGTTCTGTATCATATTATCGAATTTTCAGTTTTGCAGACTTTTGCTCAATTCTTTCCGTCTTTTTTAAATCTTTAAATTCCAAGTCTTTAACTCGGTTTCAACTCATGGAACGTGTTTAATAACGGGAATAATGTTTATTATTTTAAAATGTTGCATCCATTTATGTGTTTACGACCGACGATTATAAATATAAATCTTTATAAAAAAAACACTTCATGACATTTAAATAAATTTGTAAATAATGATTGCCTACAGTGAAATTCAGTAAGTATAATTTTACAGTTTAAATGTTCGCTTTGGACCGAACTCGTCTACAAAAATGTATAAATATATTACATTTAGGTCTCGATCCAACAACCATTACAAATCTCCTTCCTGATCCTGAGTATGATTTAGTGAACCAGTTAATTGGACCAGTGCTGAATAGTCCACCACGTTTAATTCCATCAGTGCTTGCTTGGCGATTTGATCCAACCTTATCGACTGTATGGGAGATTGATGCAGATCGATTGTTCAATAATACAAGATTACCAATTAAGTGGGATTCAGATTTTACCATATCATTTTGGCTTAGACGACATCATTCTCAAAACAATTTGAGAGCATCAAATAATGACGAGAATGAAGAATCAATACTTTGTAGCCATGATAACATTGGTTAGTGAATATAAAATAATCACTTTGTATGGTTGTCTAATCTTTAGATGTGATTCCAAATGTAATTTTATAACTTACCAAATTTTATGTCTAGCAAAAATTGAGTTAAAATAGAAACTGTGATCATTTTATTTGCAAATGATTATTAATTAATACACAAATGGGATAAAAAAGAGAAGACATAACTATCAGGTGTGAATTGATTCGTTTACTGGAATTTGTTGTAAAGATATTTATTTAGCTTGGAAATTCTTCCAATCATAAACTAAAACTGGCAGTAGAACCATATCTAACCAGTTAATTAATCTATACTAGTTTGAGATTCGTTGTTGGTGTGCACTAATGATTTGATTTAGAATCGACCATAGGATCTTTAAATCTATTAAGGATAATGATACTAATGAAATAATCAGTCATGACAAGCGAATGCAATCATGTTGAAAGCTACGCAGATATTAACGATGACATTGAACAGTGGTTGTGTTGTATCGCTAATAGTCCGAAGTTCGAAGTATGGACTATCAAATTCTGGCTCAGTGATGTAATGATCTGTGTGTAGCTTAAAATTTGAAAGTCATGAGATAGATCTTAATCAAGATCCTGAGTCCTAACCGCTGGAATGCCCGAAATTACGACAAATCCTTTACTCATTTTTACCTACTTAACACAAATTCTCTTGCTGATACTAGTTTGCCAAGAAAATCACATTCAAAATACATGTTGCTTCGGTCAATTTTACTTACCTATTCTTTGTCTCATAATTCACTGATAGGGAATAGTTCTCTTGAAAATGTGCTTGTTGTGTTCAGACGAAAGTGCCATTAGAAGTAGGAGGCACTTTTTGTTGATCAACTTATCAGTAACACCTTAAACATACTAAATATAAGATTACTTGTGTGTTGGCATTTTTCTTTTATGACATCGCAAGATAAGTAACACTGTTCTTAAGATTCAAATTTAGTTTCATAAAGGCATTATCACTATGCTTTTTGGTCTGCAATCTGCATTCTCTGAGACCTAAATATTCACACTAATCGATCCCTTAACGGTAGCCAGCGTCGAACTTGCTGGACTTAACTGAATTTATATTAGTCAAATTTGAAGCAGCTACCAAGCTGTATGGTTGTACCATTAAGTGTCACATGATTGAACCCTGAAAGGAATACCAGTTCTGTTAAAACTATAGATACTTTTCACTTATTAGCGCTAACTGGTCATAAATTCGTATTCATGAGTTTCTATCAACTGCTTCCAAGTACATAATATTTAAGAAAGAGAATCTTGATTTCAAGTTACTTCATAGAATGGACAAATTGAAAGCAGATCACTAGCTTTCTATCAACACAGAATATTGACTGGTATTAAATAACTAATTTATATACATTTATATGCGAATTTATCTTGTGTTCAATGATATGTTCATATATATTCTCCTGAAAAGAGCGTGTCAAATTACCACTGGACACTCAAATAAGCATTACTTTTCAAATCTATTTCAAATAATAAAGCCAATTTATACACATATCTGACAAAAAAAATAAGAATCATTTATTCTGTCTGATATGTAACAGACGAACTTTCAAACCGTTCAATAATAAACCAGTCTCATACATATCATGAACACAGACATTATTTTGTTAACTGTTCAACTGAACATACTTTTTACAGTATTTTATATTTATCATTGTCTTAAGCAATCTCAATCAGATATGAAATTGTGATTTTTAAGCTAGAAAATCCTAAGATATCTTTCTTTATATATCAGCTTTAATTTTCGAAATATAATTTAATTTATTTAAACCTGAGAAATTTATTTATTCAAAAGTAAAAAAGATTTAGAATTAATAACACGATTCATCTATTACTGTGTGGTCTTTAGTTTTATTCTCAAGTGTATAAAGATATATTATGTTGATTAGTAATGAAAAAGATTGAATTGATTTTATTCATTAACAATTGTTTCTCACTTAACAGTTCTATAGTTGTTACTGTCAAAAGTAAAAATGATTAAAATGTGTTATTCTATCTGTATCACTTTAACTGATAAATGTATCTAGTGGATTAGTTTACTTTTTCACTTGATGTTAAGTTGAGTTGATAGAATAATTTACAGATATAGCATAAACTGAGTTAATATAGACTACGTTTTTTTGTGTTAAAGAATCTGAATGGAGGTATTTGTCGATCAATTTACATGGATGTCGATTTATAGTAAGGATTATGTCGTCCACAAGTAGTGAACTGAAAAAATCTACACTTTTTATATTCGATCCGTTACCAGAAGAGATTTGTTCTCATACTACCGGTCATGATGATGGAATATGGCATCATTATGCAATCACATTCAGTTCATCGTCATCATCTGCAATAAACAACGATCCGATTATCATTTTAATAGATGGACAAGATTTGGATATTAAGGCCATGCCTACTGTTTATGAATCATTACAAACCGCTTCAAATCCTTTCGGCTATAAAGGAAAACCGAGGTATGTTTTAAATGAAATCTATGTCTCATAACTTAAAATTTATTTCAACATGTTAAATTCGCTTGGTATTGTTTGATTGAATTTTCCTAATGATATTTGGGACTACAATTGATCAGTCTCTTATTGGCACATGTGCATACTGTGTGTATTGCCTTGATATTGCCTTAATTCACAAGTATTATAAGCAAAGATGGAAAGTGGCTAGCAGTAGAATCTAGGACGCGCGTTTCGTCCAATTTGGGACTCATCGGCTGGATGTACCTGCATCTCGGAGTTGATGTTCACTCTGTGACTTGAACAAGTAAGTGGCTATCAGGACTTAGTAGCCAAGTAGGTGACGCAATGGCGTTTGGAGTGAACACTTTTTGCTCGAGTCATGGAGTGAACATCAACTCCGAGATTCAGGTACATCCAACGGACGAGTCCTAAATAGGAAGAAACGCGCACCCTAGATTCCACTGCTAGGCACCATCCATCTTCGTTCGTCATGTTAATTTATAAGAAGTATTAAAAGCATAGAAAAGAATGAAACTAAAGTTGTATGTAATAAATAAACGGGAATAACTTCAGTCTTCAAAAGCTAAAGCGTTATGAACAGATCTGGATGGTGGCTAGCAGTGAAATTCAATACATTTTGGACCTATAGGCTGGGTGTAGCTACATTCCAAAGTTGATATCCACTCCGGAACTCAAATCCCTTTAAACCCCATCACATTATCCACTTAGCCACTGAATCCGGATAAACAGAGGCTTGTACTATCAGTATGTATGAATTAACAGGATAGTGGTTTCAGTAACTCAAAACTGATCACTTTTCTACTGTACATTCAAAGATCAACTATTAGCCATTTCAGTTATTTCTTCAATAATATTTTGTTATCATACGTTGAAGCATGGTTTTAAAATAACTAATCAAGTAACGTGATATTTTGAAGAGCTACCAATGAATAATAATATCAATAAATTCACTTGCTAAATCCACTAAAATGAACGAAATCACCGTAGATATAACAAAGCTATCACCTTTTATCTCTGAAACCGCATTTAGTTTTTCCAAATAACTGGTTTTCGTTTTTTATATTTATACGAGACTACTCAGTTTTTCTCAGTTAAAGAAAACATAATTTATATGCAGCAGTAGTCTTGGTAACATATAAGCTATTAGTATATGACTCCATTTTTTCACATTAAAATAGGTTGAAGTCGGCATTTGTAACCTTCTTTATATGTATAAAGATTCCTTGTTAACAGATGAGAATATGATAGAGATAATTGTAGTGAAAATTGCAAATTAAGAAGTGGTATTTTTGCTGATTTGAAATATACGCTAAAAGTATTACTTTCTATGAATTTTCGACATCTTGCTAAACACTTTTTTGTATCTTTTTTGTATATCTCAGTACATTTCACAGATAATCGGGTTACTGAGAGTCTGTTCTTACTTATTTTACTATCTCTTAAGTCTTGTTACATTACTTACTAGCTTTGAGAAAAATAATCAAAAACTACATCCTACTGTAAGAGTTACTGAGATGTTGATGGTAAACCTAATTAAGGAAACAAACTAAAATAATTATCGTTACGAGATGAATTATTTTACCAGATCGCTCATTTTATTTCATACTGTCTTGGAAATATTTCCTTCATGAACTAATCCATTCGAAATGATAAATAAATAAAGATCAAGAATAGTATACAAGTAACCTACAAATCCTCATTAATTTGTAGTCTTTTTCCAAGTGATATTGTATAGAATAATAACTACTACAACAACAATGTTTTACTATTGGTTTTTAATTCCTTTTTGTTGATACATAGGATTGTAATTAATCAGCCTCTAATGTTGTATATGAATCCTAAATAGCCTTTAATCACGAGTTTAAATATATTTTACATGTAATTAGTAATGGGATCAGAGATTGGCCTTTCGTCTTATTCGCCGATTTGCAAACTAGATCTATCTGAATACCAGTGTTAATAATTACATTGAGATTCAAACCCAAAAGCCCAGTGAATAACATGTTAAGCGCTTGAAATAAAAGATGCTGGGCTCGAGCCTCAAATACGATTAAATGCGAGTCGTAGATTCCACTGCTAGCCAAATATCAAACATACTCAAACAATAATGTTTGTTGATTCTTTCGATGCATTAACTGTTAGAATGATTAGGGTGAGGGACCCAATAAACAAACAAATGATAGGCTGTAAATGAAAATAAGGTTAAAAACCTTTCAGCTCCGTAGATTGTGGAAAAAACAGAAAAGCACTCCAGCTTATCTATTCCCTTATAAGTAGTAGGAAGATTATTCATAATTATTAGACAAATAGTATTGCGTTGATTGTCTGCAACTCCTTAATACTAGATACAGCACAAGGCAATTTCAAATTACTTAGCTTAGCTACCGAACAAAAACTTGTTCGATAAAATTTGTTCAGTACTTAGGACTGAAAAAACTAACATTCGTTAATAACGCCTATTATAATTACAGTAGAATGATACGCAAGTTAAATAAGTGGCTAACTAAGGGGTGAACTTAACTCATCTCGTTAAAATCGGTAGAACCACAAACAAGCTAAATACTGTTAAGGTTGCTTGCCAATGATAATTATCTACTATTTTCTTTGTTACATTATGACAACATTATATGTCTGTTAAATATTGTTAAAAGTAAGAAAAATTGGTTACTATTGTAGTGAACAGAACACGGATGGGGACAACCAAATTGTATTTAGCACAATTTACAGAGTTACTTGGTAAAATAGAAAAAGCATATAGTAAATCGTTAACTTGCAAAATATCAATCCATCATATCAAATCGAACTGTTCTTGTTGCAACTATCAATCCATTGTCTCACATTTCATTGTTCATGCGTTTTCTTACAAATTGCATTGTGTTCCCGCTTTTCTTTTCTTGATCTTTCCCCATCTTTTGCTGCCAGATATTACGTTTTTAACTCGCGTCATATACTACAAACATCAATATAAGTAGCACGCACCACACTATCACAATTATTATTTCACTTTACTAAATATTATTTATTTGCCTTAAATTTTTACAGACTTACAATTGGTGCATGTTATGATCCTCAGACACACTTAACAAGACAACATTTACATGGTGATTTGACTGGTTTCACATTATTACGTGAAAAAATTGAATCCCCGAATACGTTAAGATGTATTAGTCAATGCGGTGAAGCTTTACTTATTCCAAATGTTATGGAGGTAACTTTTAATTCAATCTTATTTAATTTTTAAATATTATACTTCATTTATTCTACAACCGATTAACTGATTGTAAATGTTGCAATATTTTCAGCATGATGAAAGCTTAAATTTATTCTAACATAGTATTTTTCACTTTAGAAAAGAGGAAATTTATTAGATAATTTTCTTACTGTTCACAATATAGATTGACCTTAATTAGACAACCACTGGAAATCAGGAAATCATGAACAGATGTTTCAATGTTGTATGGAGCTCCTTACCAGTAAGAATGAACGGCATCACCATCGATGATCAAACCTAGGATATTTAGGTATCGTTCCGAAACCATAACCTTAATGCCATTTACTGGACATCCGATAGTGCAATACTACAACGCAACAAACCTCTACACTGATAACTTCTTATTCTGATTTTTTAATGGTTATATTTATGAACTATATTATGAAACATAACCAAGTTTGATAATTTGGACTTTGTAATTTAATCTTGTGAAATTGGAAAAAGTTAACCCTTAACATATTAGTCTTAAATTACTTGAAAAAATTATATGACACTAGCACAATACAAAAACGGATAAATCCATTAAAACTATTAAAATGTACTGGTGAACTCATTGTAAGGAGTTCAAATAGAATTAACGACTTGCTATTGGGTGGTTTGAACAGAAAAATTACATTTATTTAATGTTGTGACTCTATGAATAAACATTGATGAATACTAATGGCACTTACTACTATATCGAATAGATCAATGCCAAAAAAGGATCACCGGACGGAGTAAGAATTTACCGTAGTGTGCAACTGTAACTTTTCACTGAAGAGTATCCCCCTAGTGTTCATCGATTCATCACCTGAATTTAATTTACTACTTAAATCAATGTATATCGATTTGGCTAAGAAGAAACCAACCTTAATAAATGTGCTTTTTACACTGAACAACTTAATATCATGAATCAAATCCAAATGAAGTAAAAGCAATCGATTAATGTTAACTTCAATTTATCTAAAATTATCAGTCAGTTATTCAGTCAGACATGTATGTCAATATGAATATCATACCACGTCGAAGCATTAATAAGAGAAAACTAATAAAATTAAGCAAAAGTACTTGATTAAACACTACTTTTGAGAAAACATAAATATTTATGTCATTTATTCGCCTAGCTAGATGAGAGCAATATTCGAACATTTAAATAAGATCAAGAGTTGTTTTATTATATAATGTGTTGTGAGTCAGTAGAGTTAATTAATGCAAGGGTTTGTTTTTCAGTTCAAATGGTGTTACAATCTTAATTTACCGATAGACAACCAAGTTTGTATGATCTAACAACAAATTTTCAAAACCGCCAATTGTTTTAATTCCTTTCTGTATTGATTGTTTGGATCCTCCCATTGATTTTTAGGACTTCAATTTGTCAGTCTCTTATTAGTATATGTACATCAAATGTAGATTGCCTCAATTTCACCTTAAGTCACATGCAGGTACACCCAGATGATGAGTCCCAAAATAGGACAAAATACACGTCCTGGATTCCACTGCTTACCACCATCCATCTCTGCTTATTAATTATTTTACTATTCTTGTTACATTGTTATAAATTTATATATTTGTACAAATCACTTTTTTATAGGTATTATGTCCAGATATTGACATACATTTAGAGAATGATTTAATTACCGTGAGCGGACAAAACATAATGCATTTGACTGATGTACTGACTTCAATTTCTTATGCTAGACCACAGCCAGGAGTTAGTGTGAATTATGTACCTAATGTGGCACAATCTCGTCTATTGAGATTATTAACCTCATATAGGTAATTGAACTTTATTTGTTTTGTTTAAAGTTGTTAATTGAATAAGTTTTGGATGGATAAAACTCTTTCCAACTTCTATGTAGTTGTTTAAAGTAACTTATGACAAATCCCTTAGTCCTGGAAATAATCTCTTTCAGAAAGGTTAAATCAGTGTATTGCATTCTTAAAATACTCTAGATTTTTTGTGCTTATGTTGTGGTGTGGGCCACTTATATTCACATAAATAATATATAACGGTGGTCAGGCATAGAATGTATTTCAGCTGAAGATAGATAAGGAAAGAACGGAAACGGAATGCAATTAGTATGAAAAGGCATGAACAATGAAATCTGAGACAATGGAACAGTCAAGTTTGAGACGACGGATTGACATTTTGCAAATTAACTATGTACTATATGGTTCTCAGATTTTAGTGAGATGATTTGTAATTTTGTACTCAAATACATTTGATCGTTCCCATTGGTGTTCTTGTACACTACAATGAGGAATGAATTAATCAAAAGTGTAAAAAACCGCATAAATTTGTCCTGTTAGCTTGAGAATATTAACAGCTTGTTCTACTCAAATCAAATGTCATTTAAACGTGGAAGTATGCGATTTCTCATTTACATGTTGATGATTATTTACGAGGAGCGCGTTTCAATAGGAAAGTACAAATAAATATAGGATTTCTTTAATTTGAAAAGTCAATCCGTCATAAGACACTCAGCAGTCATATTTAAACAAGGTTTTAATTTGATTTACTTTATAACTCAAACATATACCCCACTTCACTGACGTAGTTTATACGGCTTTTTTAACCTTCCAACCTTCTGTGAATTATTTTTTCCTTTCAATGATCTATTCATGATTTCTTTCAGTCATGAGATTAGACATAGATTATGTATTGTTATAAGTTAGGCAGAAATTCGCCATCCTGATTCTATATTGTTTACAGGTAAACTTAATTACTAATGATAAATAGTATTATATTCGACCTAATGAGTGAATCAATGTGATGTTAAATGTTATTATGATATCCATTCAAATATTGTTTAAAATGTTGGTGTAACCAATGAGTGACTAATTTACATCTTAATTATTACATCATGATTTTTTAATTAGTGAGTTTTGACTTTATTCAGTCATGTAGTATTGTAGTGAAGGCGAACAAAAGTGGGGACAATCGAAAGTATGTGAACACAAAATTATAGAATATCTTAGTAAAATCTGAGAACCATTCAGAAAATACTTCATTTGCAAAGTATCAATCAATTGTCTCAACTTGACTGTTTCTTATTTTCCACACCAATCACTTTCTGTTCTTGTTCTCTTCTCTTCAAATTTTCTTAACCTTCTGCCACTAGGTATTTCATTTTCGATTGATCATACATACTACTTATATCTGGCGACATCAGTAGCACACTCAACAGTGTAACAAATCTATCATTGAAAGTGTTCCATAGGAATAATACATTTTGTGTATATTTATTCAGAAATCTATTAGTAGTCATAAACTGTATTTACAGTAAATCAAAATTGGATATAACACTTGTTAAACTTTAGAGATATTTATTTTTAAATCGTTCAACGTGTTCAATAATATGACTTGATGTGTATTAATTATAGGAATTTTTGTCAAGATTATTTACATTAAAAATGTACCCAGTCTAAATGTACGTATGTAGTGTAATTAGATCTGATATAAACTGAGTAATGCATGTTTTTATTTGAACTTGTCATTTTTAGTTAAACATATGTGAAGATGGATTTAACACTAGAAACCTTGTAATTAAACAGTATCACGCTTATTGTCAATGTGGGACATTCTGAACATTCTATGACAATACAAGTCAACTATGATAAACAGTACTCAAATACTCCATACCAGGATGTAATATGACCATTTGGTTTTCTAACCATTGTTAAACAAATGCAACTTAATTTGTTTAAAGATTTGTTTTGTCATATTGAAAGATACCTAGAAAATAAGTATGATTATCCATTAGTCTTTCGTATGGTATGCTTCTAGATTTTCAATGGTGCTCTAACATTGATCAGTTGATGATTTCAAGGAAATTCAACAATTTCTACAACCCCGTACTTAAAATTACTACAGTTGAATAATTTTTCTTCAATATTATCAAAATTATTTGATAAAAATCTATTTAAAATGTAATTCGGCTTCTAAAATTATACTGTACATTTTCTCATCACTTAAAAATCAGTTTTGCGATAAAATTGATAGGAAATAACAACTGATAAATATTCTCAGGTATTATCTTAGACATTTACTGTAGATTTTTGATTGTTGCTTTGAGTTTATATTCTTTTCGGATAACTTCAAGTAACTTTCCACATGTGCATAATATAAGATTTACAGTAGCATGATGAAACTATTCCATGTTGACGACGCCAACTACCAGTTTTTTCCTGCACAACCCAAAAACTAATACTAAATGGCCTTGACCTTATAAAGATCTATATAAAATGTAACTTGTTTAATGGTTACATTGCTTAAGACTGATAAGAAAATGTTTAATGGGTCATTTTTCAGTTTGAAAAAAAACTACTTCATCTAATTTAAATCCTAGACGAGACAGTTTTAATTAATATATATTCTCAGAAGGGCTTTGTGGAGATTTTAGAAATTTCACAGATTGAAATCATGAGTCAGTTGAAGTTAGACCACCATGGAGAACCTGGAAGCGCTGGACAGCCGTTACCAGTGGAGTTCAACCAGGTCTGTTGTGAGACATCAGCTCACTGAAGACAATGGTATACGGTGGCGCAACTTCGTGGATTGGTTGAAGTTAGACATTAACACCGTTGGATGCCGGCTCGTTGGTCTAATGGTTGAGTGCTCGCGCGTGAAACCAGCAGGTCCTGGGTTCGAACCCCGCGGGGTGCGGGATCATGGGCGCGCAGTGCTGGGGAGTCCCATACAAGGACGAGACGGCCGTCCAGTGCTTCCAGGTTTTCCATGGTGGTCTAGCTTCAACTGACTCATGATTTCAATCTGTAATATATATTCCTTTTCCCCACTGTTCAAGATAAACAATGAAGTAAATTATCTCATAATTAATGTACAAAATACCAACTAAGATTGTTGTGTACATACGCTTTAAAATATAAAGAACCTTCGCCTACGTGGTTCTTATATTATGGTCACATTACGTCATTATTTGATCTTTCTGTCAGTCTGCACACAAATATTATCGAAACAGTACAAATACTTAATGAGGAACACAAATATATCTTTTTTGACGTAACTATTTGAGATTTTTCATTTGTTTTTTATTCCACTGTTAACTAAATCAGATGCTCAGGAGACCAATCATTTGTCATACCAACTGCGGAGATCAGGTTAAATGTTCTACCTATGACGGTTACGGACATCTTAAGAACATCTCATCATGACTTATCCGACCAGATCTCTCAATCAACCAAGGATACTTCTTTATGGGTTCCTGCTAATATGCATGTTCTTGATCGCCCAGGTCTATCTCAGGCTATAGTGGGAACAAAAGCCAATTATGATAAAAATTCAAGACCACTTCAACCTCCATCGTTAATAATTCTTGGGTCAGACATTGTAACCACTGAGCCACCTATTAATCCACCTGGAATCCCTTTATTTTCAGACCTTCGTTTTGGGCTTCCAACAGAACGAGGTAATTTAATAGGATACTGTTTTTCTTCGCACTAGTATAAAATGTCATTAATTTAGCAAAATGACAGTCTATTATAATTTATGTGGTCGTACTAAACAGCTTAACGGAACAGAGTTCACCACTTCTCTCATTTTTTTATTCGCTTATCATTTCTTCTATATTTTTGTATGGGTTTTTTGGTGAGTCTTTCACATTCTCACGACATACAATTTCGTCAAATATTACAAAACAACTAAGTAGTGATAAGCTCATTTAGTTTAGTTGTTAATCTCTTCTTTAAAAGGAACATTTCATACTTTGTAACTCCATTTGACTAATTTTTATGTTTGGTTTAATTTTTACTTAATTGATATAAAACCCTAGAGACGTCGATCTGCCGTAATCAGATAGTTCCGTTGTTATTTATTAGAAAATATAAAGTAAATGTATGATTGACTATTGGTATGGTGTATGTTACTTATTCTGCCAGATATAAGTGGTATATAGCAGTAATCAGAAGTGGAATGCCTGCCAGCAGAAGACTGAATTAAAAAGAACAGAAAGGGAAGGAAAGAGTAATTGGAATAATGACAGAATTGAAAGAATCAAGGAGTATGTAAATAATGTATTTAATGTATAATTTTCATATTTTACATAGCTACTGTTTCATTTTGCCTTAAACAATAGATTGGCTTTCTCCACCAGATCACCCGTTCATTAAATTAGGATGCTTTCATTAAATCGGAGTGAACATTGACAAAGATCTTAAACGATATAGCACTTAATAATTAAAAGAAAGTGGAGTAAATGAGCATTTGATTTGATGATTCTTTTCATTACTATTGTATTACACTGATATGTTAAGATCAAATCCAAACATTTCGGAAAAATGATTCACAGCTTCATTTGATTACTGTGACCTGGATTTTTTAAAATCACCTCTTAAAGTTGAAAAATGTGTGCCAAAAAGTATACATTGAATGAACGACTCTTTTGCATATAGATGTTGGCAAATCATTCCATATTTGACCTTATCTATTTCCCACACAATCTACACACACACACACACAGTTTCAACCCCACTGCCTCCCAATACAAATGCATACATTTTCATACCCACGTTCTGACGCAAAAATTAATACCGTGACAGGTCATACAAACCCACCTTGACCAACAATAACTTGACGTTGACATATTCAAACCCCTTATGATTTTGACTGTACTAAAATATTCTGCACTGTTTCCTTTGTACTATTTGAGTTCGTGTTAATTTAATTAGGCTATTTACTTACTCTGAAGAAGCGGCTTACATTAAGTCGCGAAACGTCGGAAATAAAATTTTCTACTCATTGGTATATAACAAAATAAACATTTTTTATAACTAGAACTATTCATTTAATAGTGCAGACACACGCATTAAACAATGGAAGTTTAGTTTACTATCAGATTGACGGTCACCGCATTAAATATGACTTATGAACAGTCCTAGAAACAGTCGTGTACGCATCGGCTGTCTTTAGTAGGATGTTGAGGCTATCAGACTCAACTATGCTTGGTCTAAAGTAGTAACCCATCGATAAATTGGGGGGGGGGAGATCATAGATTGGTCGAATTTAGAAATGTAAATCACTGAATCTCAACTCCTTGAATTATTTTTCGAGTGTTGGCCCCGAGACCTTCAGGTCTTGAATTTGACCTCTCGAGTGGTTGCTGAAGTCCACTGTCGAAGAGTTCCAAATCATAAGGAACCAATTTTTTAGAGCTCTCTGAATTTCGACGTTTCAGCACATGAAATCATTCCATGAGTAAAAATATCTTTGAATTATACTGTACTTTGCGAATCAGTAAAACTAAACAATTCATTTAAATCTCTGACTGCTGTCATAATGCTTAAAGTCTGAATGTATATTTACCCTTTGCTTCGATGTTTATATTTATTTTTCAGTTTCTGATTCATCGAGTTCTTCCCAGGTTGCTGCAGGTGTACCACTGGATGACTGTTTTGTATGGCTTATCTCAACTGGTAATCCGATCAGTTTAAATATAAGACCAAAATTATATGAAGAATATGGTGCACGTATTGACTGGCCTGTAGATGAAACTCAATCAAGTCAATTAATTGGTCTAGCAGATCGTACTGGGATACAACTGAGAGGACGTAAACCTGCTTTAATCTATGCTAACCTATTACAGAAATTTCGATTTTGGCCACCAAAAAATATTCGTTCAGTGCAACTAATGGATGCAAATAAAGAAATAATTTATATGGCCAATATTGGCCTAATATGTAGTTTAGACAGTGGGAAGCAAACAACACCTGAATTTGTTGTCAAAGTATGTTGAGAATTAATATTAGTCATTCGATATAATTACTATGTTTACACCGATCAGTCAATTGATAGTAATCAGTGTTATATATTTTTGCCTTTAATACTAATTAATTCCATTAATAAACTGTAATCTCAGGTTTACAGGGCAGGGAAAGTACTATAAAATAGACAATCAAATCATTCTAAGCACAATTACGATACTAAAATTCATTTTTTCCCAAAATATTTTTAACAACGTTATTTACTATTGTTTAATCAGTTATCTTGTATGAATTAGATGAGATGAAAAGGAACTTTAGTTAACTGTACCAATTTTTTTCTAAAATTACTTCATTTCTACTTAGATTATTATTCAAGGCAAAGGGTCAGAAACAGCATCGCTTATCAATGAAGTAGGTGCATTTATTTCAAATCAATCTTTGTCATCTCGTCCAAATCCTGATGCAGTACATTATGTACTATCCGATCAAGAACGTATTGAATCTGGTGACAAATCATTAAATCGTCTACGCCTTATTAATCCAATTGATTATGAATATGGGACTATAGATAGAAAGGTAAGATTATTTACAATCTTATATATTTGTTTGTCGGAGTTGTAATCTCTGAGACGAATAGTTTGTTTCAGCTACCATGATACTTTCAATATTCTAATCCTGAGCTACAGATATTCTCGATAATCTAATACATTAATTTGTTCGCCTTATTTTACAAATCTCACATTTTGATCATTTCAATAAATTCCTTTCTTTCGATCAACAGAATATTCAAAAAATGTAAACCTATCAAACTACATTAACTGGATGTTGTATCTGTCTCAGTAGGAGGGATCTTACAATGAATTTTGTACTCATAAAGTTATTGATTGACTTATTTTTATTCTCATCAGCCAACCGTTAAGCAACCAGACGAATGTCATAATTTCTTGATGATTACTGACTGTCACCAGCCGGTTCTTTTAAAGTGGATGATGATGCTTTTAGTTTCAAAGTAATCGGGTTTTAAACTGAAAAACTCCTTGGATTGGCAATTGTAGTCATAGGAACAGCAGTTTCAGTTTGTTGATAAGTAGTTTGAAAAGTTTCACTATAACTCACTCACTAGATTCCTGTGTTCCTCCCAGTTGTAGCCATTATTCTTACACATTAGAACCAGTCCACTAGCCAAGAAAGAATGAATAATGTATGCGGTCATTTGCTATGAATCATAAATTTAAAATATAATAAATCTTAGTTTTTTGAGCAGCATTTATAAGTTAAATCTTTACAGATAGTCGAATAACACAGGTGAATAGAACTTTTTGATTCACTTAAGGCAGTCTGTTTGAATATCCGGGCTATCTGCTCCTTCTATCTTGATATTTCAACAAGTTATTTTTCTTGTAATAGACATATCATTATGTCAATTAGTCTCATAACCTATTCAAGTGCGTTTGTGGAAAATTTACAACAATTCGTTGTACAAGTTACAAAAAAGCCCAATCAGAGAGGCCGTGGTCGATGGCAATATGCATCGAAAAGAATATACATAATCCAGGTGTTGATTCCTGAGCTGCTAACTTCTAACTGACGACCACTCAATATGCTATAGTCAAGATCGATCAAGCAATAAGAAACGGAAACTTGTTGAAATGCTTTGTGCTGAGAATTGTATATTGTACCAAAAATATAATACTGAATAAAGCCAATAATAATAAAATTCATCTGTAATGCTTATTCAACAGTACTGAGAAACTGATTTTTTATTTCAAAATTAAAACATAACAGTATGTTTAACATAGTTATCATTATCAACTTTTATTTAGGTTACTGAATCTTCACAGTCCCATACTGGAACGAAACCGTCATCCAGTGCTTCCAGATATTCAATAGTGGTCTAACTTAGGTCGACTCGTGAATTTAACTATGAAAAATTAGATTAGTTGAATGAATCATTTTCCAGGAGATAATTAAAATAAACTTTTTAATCTTTTCAACTTATTTTTCTTTATTAACTTAATCTGATTATAGATAGCTGTAAAACGCAACCACTTAGCCTGATTTAATTACTGAGCATAATGTTTAATAGAATTTAGCATTCTAGCCAACATAAGAGCATGCTGAACGGAGGATAGGAATTATCAAAGCAAAATATAGCGTCAAACAATAAAGTATTCAACAACTTTCCTAGGTCGTTTCAAGAGGTATAGATTTCTTGATTCAAACACTCGAGATAATCTCACTAATTCTTCCTATCTGTCTCTCCTGATCGCCTCTGCTATGAACTGCGGAAACGTTTTCGGGTACATATCTATCCCGAATTTATAAACGACTGACTAGTTGTGAAGTCAGCTGACATTCAAGCTTGAAGTATTATTCCACAATGAAATATTTCACTGTAAGCTTACTTATGTCACAACGTTTTTGAATTTGATTTCATGATATAGCTTTTGATTTATAAAAGTTGATTGTTGGCCCCGCTAAGAATCGCTTATGAAGTTCTATACCTTAAAGGACTTTTTTATTTGAAACAATAAACCACAAATTTGTTTATAAAAATACACCCCGTTTTATCAAGGGATTTCAATTTTATTACCCATGTCAATAAACATAGTCTGTGATTTCAACATATTTAATCGGTTATCTTCACTAATTACACGATAAATCGACAATGAACCCTCAAAACAAATCAATTAAAACTTTAAACTACTGAAAAAGTTTCAAAATGGTAGTCTATAAATATTTACCATTTTTTACTCTGCTTCTTTAATATCAAGCTTTTCAGATTCATTAAATTAAAATTTGTTTTATTTCTATCTCCACGACAAAACTTTAGCCTCAGTACAGTTATACTGGATTAGTTATTGGTTTATCAGTTTCTGCTATCATATTAGGGTTATTAATTGGTACAGCTATTTGGTATATACAAAAAAATAAACCGCAACATCATAAGAAACCAATGCGTCGTAGAAGATTTGCATCACAACCTGCTGATTTTGGTGGTTCTAATTTAAAAACAGATCCAACTCTTAGACTTACAACTAATCCCGTAAATGATTTACAGGTAAGTTTATGAATTGATGTTTAATTATGTGATAGAGAAAGAATTTGTGGAGTTTTGTAAGAAAAAAACACGAGACATTTATAATCAGTATTGATTATTATTATATTTGTACAAATTTATTCTAAGTGATAGTACCTCTGCTTCAGGAAACATTTATGCATATGAGACCTACTGAGTACTTGCTTAATCCACTTATATTCACGTCAACTCAACACATTTTTGGACAGATTTACGAAAGATCATTAAGTCTGGACATTGCAAAAAACATTGTGTAGTATAGCTCGTGGTTTGTAATTTCCCGTTTTTGAAATTTCTGACTAAATTTGATATGTATCTATTACCGTATATATTAACTAGACTGATTGTCTAGAAATCGTCTCTGTAACTAAAACTTGAGGGCTACCTGAACTTTGTAGCTTAGCCGATAACTCTATAGTGTTAGGAAGGCAAACTTAGGTACGTTGAATAAAATTCAAGGAGTGATTCCAGTTATCAATCTTCGTATAAAATTATTTTGTAAAGAAGATATTTTATATAGTACACAGAAAGTTTACAAATAAAAAGAAAACTTTTTTAATGTAATCATCGTATATAGTGGGAATTACATAATGTGAAGATAAATATTAGTAAATCCTTTGTACTATTTATGTTAAATATTGTATAAGATAAGTAAATCAATGAGCTTTTGTTTATTTATTCACAACAAACGATTAGATAAACCAGTTTATTATTTATTCACTGAATGTTAGGCATTTCCCTTGAGTACAACTGTTAAAATAGATTACCAATATAGTGTATGAGTTTCCTTGATTGTTATTTCATGAACTTGTTTCGTCCAATTTATAAGTCCTTTGAATTAGTTATAGTCTTATATACAGATGAATCACTTTCTGTGATGAAAAATAACGGTATTAGGATAGAAGGAATGGTAATAAACCTCATAAAAAATCCATGTGGTTTGTGAAATGATTAACTTTTTTTATATTCCTAGTGTACTATCCTTGATTTATACTAACTATCTAGTCATCAAATAACAAGGAGCATAAAAATCCCAAGGCTATGTCGACATCGTTCAAGGTCATTGTTTGCAAAAAGTTTCATTTCATTCCCAATATTGAATAAATCGTCAAAAACAGCTTAGATTTATACGTGATAACTAATTCCGCACTAACTACTCACTAAGCAATCAGTACTTAACACTGCAATCCATGTTCCATCTCATAATTTGAGTAGATTTTAGAAATTTATTTCATTGTTATTACATTCATTGGTCTACTAGACTGTAATAATACATCCCACTCATTTCATTATTTATTCGTTCTTTTTCTTTCAAAAAGTTGATGAGTATGAAAATTAAATCTATGCATGGAATAGATTATTCACTACATTCAACACCTACACGAAATCATTGTATTTATTCCCCACCATTGACAACACAACGAGTTAATCCATTTAATAATACATCATGTGATGAATTATCTGGTTCCATGTATTCACTTCCAAATCAAACACCAAGGCTAGCTGATCTTGAAGAGTTTGAAGATGAAAATTATGAATATGACGATGAATTGGGTAGTGTAGATCAAATTCACAATCCTAAATATTGGATTACTGGACAAATATTAAAAAATAATTCTACTAAAACTTCAATTATAAAACCACATGTTGATCAAGAACAAATAGAAAATTTAAAATCTTTTTGTCCAAATAATTCTCTAACAAAATCAGACCGTTATGAATGGATTGATAATGAGTTGGATACAAATTGGCACGAAAAAATTCATGAGAATCATAAACATGAATCAAAATCCACCGAATTATTTACTCAAACAGGTCAGTTAAATCAGAATAAAAATATGAATCAAACTGTTCATGTGTAAAAAAAAAGAAAAAACAATTTCATTTTCTTCAAGAAATGACATATTCCTCACTTGAATGTGTATTCTCAGCTTTCATTATAGTAAGTCTGTATGTCTATACAGTTACTTTTACAAATACCATTGTAAAAAAAATGTATACGCTGATTTATACGAGCCTATGGACAAATACTAGAAATCATTTCTCTATGCATCCATGCTAATATACAAAAAGACATCCATATAAATATGATACATTTTTTCCCACTGTCTTACTGTCCAAAATATTAACCCTTCTTAGTAGTTATGCAACTTTATACACTAACACCTATACATGCTGACAGTAGTGATTGTTCCATTCTTTTCTTCCACTATATTTCATTTGCTACCTTATTTACCTAGTCATATGCTTAGACATTATAAATATCCATTTTATTTTTAAATGCGATTTCATTTATGCAAATAGTTACCTATACAGTTTTTGTTTTCTTTCATTTAAATAAACAATAAACCTTGTTCAGTTCTATATTTAAAGACGAATTAAACTGATCTATATAGTGGATATCATTTTGCAAACAATTTCATTTTAATTATTATGGGGTAAAATGTATTTCTATGGCCGCTATGTGCCACTATGTGCCACTATTTTATTTTATATTAATAATATAAATAAAAATTATTTAGCGATGTTATTTCAAAATATACACTCATTGTCTACTTATTATGATACATTTTTTCCCTTGGTTTTTACTACAGTAACAGAGAACAAATAGAGAATATGTTATATAGTTCATGAATATTATTTTAGAAAAATTAAACCAAGTTTTCTTTTTGCCAAATAAATCTCTTATTTAATATTTTCACCAATATTCTATTTAAAAAGTATTCATGAGTGTGTTTTTTTTCTCAGTCAGGTTCTTTTTTTCGGTGGATACGAATGTTAACCCCACCTCTAACCATTCTTTTTAGGTTGGAAACGGACAATGTCTGTGGAAGGGCTCCAGGACAGGTTAAAAAGTATATAGACTATGTAGATTATGTACAGTCCCGGAGTGGACATCAGTGGACATCCAGCTGACGAGTTCCGAATAGGATGAAACGCGCGTCCTGGATTCCACTGCTAGCCATTATCCATCTTTACTTAAAAAGCTTGTGACTTAATGCTATATCAAGGCAATGCGCACAGGATGCACTTATGCCAACAAGAGACTGATCAATCGCAGTCCTAAATAACAATGGGAACATAAAAGTAAAACAACACCAAGTGAATTTATTTAGAATATGATTCAAGAATCTTGCTAGAAAGAATAACAAATGACAGTCTATCTTAAATCGCAATTTATCATTATGTAGAATAACTGAAGTTTTTTCTAGTATTTTAGTTACATATTACCCTTTGGAGCAACATAATTATTTGTTTAATCACATTTTAAAAAGTTGCCATTTCTTTCTTGATTTAGATTGTGTTTTTAGGACAGAGAAATAGTTTACATCATGGATTAACTTTTTTACATTGTGTTCATTCATTACTAAAATATGATGAACCAAAACCATGAACTTCCTGTTGTTATAGTGACTACAAGATCATTTAACTACCTAAATTATATAAATATTTATCATTGTATACTACTCATGTGTTTTATGATTTTTCACCACACTGACAACAACATATTCTCCTAAATATTTTACATTCATTCTACGATAAAGTAAAGAAATTTGAATTAAAATATTCAAGCGATTGAATCATAAACCAACCATTTGGTTATCATCACCATGGTTGAAATTAATTTCTTTAATTCTAATTTAATATGACAATCTATACATGATTTGTTGTTAATAGGTGACTTACTTCTTATCTGTGACGTGTACAGTGCATTCAGATATAAAATCGCTTATTTCAGTAAATGAATCCTACTGGACATGAGTTAGTTACTATATAATTAGTTAGATATTACCAAAGATATTAATGGCTTTATGAATAGTCAGCAAATAAACATAAAATGATTCATATCAAACGACTATCACAGTTAAAATATGAATGCAATTTTAAAGTATTGATAGTTTGTATTCAAATATTTAGATTGACAATGTTCGAAATACAATGGCTACAAATTTCAACTCGCGATACCAAAAAGGTTCTATGAATTTTGCTAATTACAATAGAAAAAAAAACAACTTTATTATAAACGACAGAAAAGTTTTACCAATGCCTGATTTATGTACGAAATAATATTGTGTTGATCTATAGGTTACACTGATCAAATTTCAACAGTTTTTCTACATCTTTTGTGATGACAAGATTTTTTGTGAATGGTTTTTTTCATAGTATCCACTGACTGCGTCTTGTCAATCGAATATTCTTAGAACTAGCCAAGATTCCACACATTTGTGATGTTATTTCATTCTCCAGAGTACACTGGGACATTTTCTGTTTTGTTTATTTTTGTATCAACTAATTTGACTACTAAAAATTATATCGAATATTCATTTGGTATTATTTGGGTTGTATCTTCCCATTAAGGTTTAAGACTACAATTGATCAGTCTGTTATTGGCACATGTGCATATGTGTGTATGCCTCGATATTGCCTTAATTCACGAGCTTTTTGTAAGCAATGATGGATAGTGGCTAGCAGTGGAATCCAGGACGCTCGTTTCGTCCTAGTTGAGACTCGTCAGCTGTATGTACCTGCATCTGAGTTGATGTTCACTCTGGGACTCGAATCCAGTACCATTCGCTTCAAACGCCATCGCGTTATCCACTCAGCTACTGAGTCCTGATATTATTATTTAAGTTACTCAGTAGTAGGCAAATGTCTAATACACAATTTAATGTTCATAAAGAAATAATTTCGAAAACATATTTTTTTGTAAAAAATCAAACACAATCAGTTTGAATATCTGAATATATTCTTTAAGAAACTTAAGCACCATAACCTGTGAAGATATTTATTTATGAAATAGATACTAACTAACGTGATTTCAAGTAGTTATATGATAGAATACAATTAAGAAAATGTGAACCAAGGAGAGCCTTAGTACCAATGCCATCAAACACTGTAGCATCACATATCTCAAATACTGTTACTCTTTATTGTCTATCTCTCACTACTGGTGACTGCATAAACCCTGGTAGGACGTTCGCACATAACAAAAACAGAAGAAAGCCTTAGACCACTTCTAGAAATACTTCACTATCACTACATTCCTTAAGGAAAGAGTACATATAGAATTTATAAACATTTTCGGCAACTTAAAATCGCGCATCGACTTAGGACTGAAAATTCATAGATCAAACTAAAGGCCAACTCACTAGAAGGATATGAAATTTATTTTCATAATACAGCGTTATAATAAAAATTAAAAGTGTAATGAATTCATTGAAAGAAGTAAGAGTCTATAAATACATTTTAACTGATTTATTTAAATAGAAGAAAATATCTTTAGGCTTGGTTCATACTATGTTTTCAACTTAATGTTGGTGACTCAAATCTTTTGCAAACATCGCCGTCAACCATGCTTTCAAATAAAGCCATAGCTAGACTGTCCTGTTAACCTAGTTTTTGTGTGGTTTCTCAGGTAAGAAAGTTTAAAGTGAATTTTTTACCAAGTTAGGGAAACAATGATAACTCAACAATGTATGACTTGCGGTATTATTATTGGTCAGTTCAAAACCTGTCAGTTTTCTGAAGCATTCACCATGAAGCCTTAAAGTCTTATGTCCGTTCCCTGATGTATTCGTAGGCAACTGTTTCTAAGGAGATCCATACTCGGGTGAAATATATATCTAGTGCTTAACCAAAGTCAAACCTTGATGTACCACTTTAAATCTTTCAATCTCCACAACATCTTTAATAACTATTCACAAATCTTAATAGTTGAGATCATGAGTCAAATGAAGCTAGACCATCATGGAAAACCTGGAAGCACTGGACTAATCACTTGCAAATTATCTGTCTACACCCATGCAAGCAAACTTAGCACCATATCGCTAAGTCCATGTAAGTACAACTGAGAGAATTATAATTTTAACTAGTTTCAGAGAAATCTAACGATTTATTGAACTAGGAAAATAACGCCGTAAAATCGATAAATGATTGAGTAGACATTTACAGGAATAGTTTGTCTACTCATTAGTAGCCAAAGTGTATTTGTAAAATTTTAAGGTTCAATTTTCACGTGAATCACTTTAAAAAAATTACCTACATTTTGATGTTTGAGCATAAACGTTGTTTCTCCCATTAATGCATTTATCAAAAGTTTTCTGTGACAGAGAACACCCGCAATACTTCTATGTCTTCTTGACACTGTCTTTGGTGATCTACAAGTTGATATTGTGCATCTTCTGTTAGTATAGGAGACTTGTGGAGTTTTCATAGTTTGAATCACGAAATATTATTAATTAGATCAAAACTCGAAACCTAGAAGCTCGGTAAGGTCGTTTATTTCTATTTTAAAACCCGTCAATAATAAGTCATATTGTCAAAATTCTATAATCTTCACAAATCCCACTCAGTTATTGTACTTATATGCTCACTGGTGACTAGCTTTACGATATAACTTCTGGAGTTTTAGTGAGAAATGAAGTGACCAGTGGAGTTCATTCCATATCGGTTGTGAGCTAGTTTTCACTAGAAGCGATGTATAGGGGTTTCGCAATACTGTGGATCGTGGTTGTGCACTGCTGAAGAGTTCCATATTAGAACGAAACGGTCGTCCAGTGCTTTCAGGTTTTCTATAGTAGTCTAGCTCAGATTGACTGATAAATTTGACTGTTAAAATACTACAATTTCCACAAATCCCTGTACTGAGAAGTAGCAAAGTATTTACATATTACATTTACATAGCCTTCGATAGTCCAATTGTATCTTTCTGTACGTTCTGCCATCTGAACTGTATTGTTTTCTGGTCTCTAAGTGTTCTGCCAACGCCGTGTTTTCTATGCACTGAACTTTTACTCCATCTGACAATTGTTATAACTTCAATACCACGTTCCTCTACACACTACTTACAAACATCCTTATAATTAGCGTCCACTACACTAATACCATTACGATTACCATCAATACAAAAATAAAACAAAATTATAGGTTTGTATTCTGTCTTGATGGTAAAATGGTGA